GGGGCAGGAGGAAGCCAGGAAGGACAGTGGAGTATGTATAGGCCTCTGGACCAGCCCAAATGTGCCTTTCTAGCTACGAAAAGGGGTTCAAAAGTGAAAGCTTCTGAAAGATCGTGGGATAGATGGGAAGTAAGAGAGAAACAGAATGAGGAAGGGAGACCAAAGTGAGCCATCTCTCTCTTCCCTCCTCCAAACTGGCCCCAGAACTGGCCAGAGTCAACCTCAAAACTGGGCACATCACTTCCCACCAGGGTGGGGCTGACGGCCTGGCCTCACCAGAGCAGCTGCTAGAGGTCTGTGGCGCAATGAGGTTGGAGCCGGCTGCCATGCCATGGCCCCTTGGGAAAGCTGGGTAGTGGGTCCCCATTCTCAGACCAGACAGTAACATTATCCAAGCTTTTCGGCACTGGGGTACGGATGAGGGAGATAGTGGTGACTGCACCTCCCATACGCACACCCATCCTATATAGACAGCAATAGCCCGGCCCAGTCGCAATCCCTGAGCCCCTGAGGTCCTCTCGGCTACCTCCTTTGAGAAGCCAGCCAGTTCCTACTTGCTCTCCCCGAATGCCCCAGTCCCCCAAAGTGCCCCATGAAAAAGCGAGCGGGAACAAGGCTGAATTTAATTTGCTTTGAGTTTGCTAATTGAGGGGGAGGATGGTTCATTTCTCCCCGGCGCTCGCCCAAGGCGCGCGTCAGTGCGCTCGGGGCTTGACACGCACACAAAGACTCCAGGCAGCGTGGGCATCGAGGCGGACAAAGACCACCGCAGCCTGGCTGTCCGGGAGAAATCAGCCCGGCCGCGCCTTGTGCCGCCCGGCACAAACCCGCCAGGCCCTCCTCAGTTTTGGGGGTGGGGGGACATTTTAAAACAAAAGCCTCGACCTTCTTGCACTGCCCAGAAAAAGTGTTACAACTTAATCTGCCCCGAAAACGTTACTGTTTACTGGGAACTTTGACCCTGTCCTGCGGCTCCGCGTACAGTAGCGCCTACTGTAGCCCTGCGCCGCCTCCCCACCCTGGGACAAGCTCAAGCCAGGCCTGCTTTGGGACCCTGCTGCGCAGAAGGCCGGTCCCCTGAGCCAGACCCTCTCTGCAGCCTTCCAGTTTTATTTCTCTAATTTAGGTTGCACCCATCGCGCCTGGCCTCCACCTTCTGACTCTCCCATCCCCTTAAGGGAAGTAACTGGAGCCCACGGTGCGAGCCTGGGGCCCGCAGCGGCTCAGAACTCTCCCTTAACCCACGCCCTGCCCTCTCCAGCCTCCAGCCCCAAACACCTGGACACCTCACTGTGATATCCTTCTTCTTGGGCCCCAGCAGGGTCCCCGCACTCTCACCAAAAGTCTCGCCAAAAGTGCGCAGATGTCTTAGCCAGGAGCTACAAGGCATGTCGGGCTGGACGGAGGAAACAACTCAGCAATATCCCCAGAACTTGAAGTGGCTCGGCTCTTACAGCCCCTTGCTGGAGTCCAACAAAGCCAAGCACCTTGAAACGTAAATCCTGAGCCCCAGCGTGGAACCAGCTACCAGGACCTTAACCAAAGGCCCTCTCAGAGCCCCGCACTTACCAGTGCTGGGTGCCAGATTGGGAGTGGGGGCACGCGCCTGGAAGGGTCTCTGGTGCCTGGGCCACACTCACCTGAGTTTCCGTGAGGCTGAGGCTGTGTGCCAGCTGCTTCCTTTCCGCGCCCACCACGTAGTGATTCTTCTCGAAGGCGTGTTCCAGCCTTAGAAGCTGGGACGGGGAGAAGGCGGTTCGGATCCGCTTCGGCTTTCTGGCCAGCGCGTTGTGCAAAAGGAAACTCTCAGGGCTTGTGTCGTTCCCTGCAGGGGGCACAGCAGAAGTTCCATTAGGGGGGCCGCTCTAGCCCGAGCCGCTGGCTTCTCCCGAGCCGGGCTGGCCGGGCACAGCGCTCAGGAACTCCGTGTAGCCCGCGCCGCCCGACCTGCGGGGGCCGGTGATCCTCCGGAGGCGCACGAAGGGGACGCCGGCCCAGCTGCCCGGCCTGGACCTCCAGGGCTCCACCTGTGTGTCACCCAACCAGCAGCTGCCCCAGCTGGGCCAGTCCTCAGGCTCATGACCTCGGCGGGCTCCGCAGCCGAGCTGGCGCCGCGGGCCTCGCCACCTCCGCGCCCGGCGCCGGGGGCAGGGGAGGGAGCCGCAGGGCCCTGCTCGGGGATTGGCGCCCACGACCCAAAGAAATTGCTTTCTCTTCTTTCTAACCTCTCCGGGAACTTTGACCCAGGGTGGAGAGGCGGCGGCCTGCTATCCAGAGTTTTGTTTAAAAATTGTCTTGTTACCCCTCCGGGAAAGTACAGAGGCCGGGCGAGTCGTTGCAGCCCGACAGCGACAGAAATCTCGCCGTGGTGTGTGCCCGGCTTCTCCCGCTGCTGCCCCGCTCCAGAGAACTAGAGGAGAGACGCGAGCGAAGGGATCGAAACGGGGGCTCTCGAGCGACAGGGACAGTCTGCGGCCCCGCAACATTCCGGGCGCTCCGGATCTGGTGGGGGACCAAGAGCGTGGCTGGCAATGAGGAAGGGGGGCCCTAAAGTTTTCGAGTGAAGCCAGAGAGTTTCGGATTCCCGCGTTAGAGTAGGAAATCGATTCACCGAAAACCCAAACAAAGAAAAACAAACCGACAGTCCAGGCAGGAATGTAGGCAAACCCAGTCCAGGAGTAAGGGTGAAAGGTTTTTGTTTGGTTTGGTTTTTTTAATTGTGGGAAGGGGGGTGACATCTACCTGATTCGAGGCTCTGGCAGGGACGGAAAGGGTTAATGAACCGACAAGCCGCTGAGTATTGATCGGCCGCCGCCGGAGATAGATCTTCTACCGACTCTCACCGGCAAACTATCCCTTTTTCTGAAGTTTTAACTTTCCTCCCACTCTCCACCCAGAGAAAAACAAACAAATCAAAAATATCGCAAGAAATGAAAACACCCAAACATCTTCCCCTCCCAGTCGGTCTCAAGACCCGTTTCGTTTCTCTTAAGAGAAAGAAAAACAAAAAGCAGACGGAATCTGCCTCCCCGCCGTGGCCGCTCGGCGCCCCAGTTAAGCATTCTCGGCGAGAGCGCCGCGCCCGAGCTTTCCACCGCGCGGGTTCCCGCTCCTCCCCGGTCTCAGAAGAGCAGGAAAAAATAAACCCCCATACTTTGCTCCCGGAGCACGAGGGTGCCCTCGGCTCCGGAAGAGGGTGGAAGACCAAGAAGTCGCAGGTCTGGGTTGCAGGGGCGTGAAGTGGGTGGCGAACGGGGTGGAACGCAGGCGAAGGCAACGCTGGCGGCCCGGCACAGTCCGCGCCCCTCGGAGCTAGAAAGGCTTGGGGGCATCTCCAGGGGACCTGGAGCCTGGGGACTCTGTGGGCTCCGGGCTCCCTGGCGGGCTGGCACGCAGAGCAGGCTGTCACAGCCTGCCCCGACCCCAACGCACTCGGAGACAACTTCTCCGTCCACACCCCTTCCCAAAGGGCCAGGCGGCCCGCAGGCCAGCACTCCAAACCCGCCGCAGCTTCGGAGACTGGGGCTCAACGCCGCGCCCGGCCCCGCGCCGCCCAGTTCCCGAATCGGGCCCGCGGGCCCGCGAGCCGGAGCAACCTCGGTGCAGGCCTTGCCAAGCGCCCACCTGGAGCAGGCCGGGGGCAGTGAAGGATTCGGCGGGAGCGGCGCGCTGCAGTCCCGCGACGTGGCACGTACCTTGGAAGCGATGACCCAGATATCGGTAGCGGTGGATGAGCCAGGGGTAGAAGGTGGACGGGTCCCGCTGCTGCGAGGCGAAGAGGGGGTGTGGCGAGTGCGAGGAGGGCAGGGGGTGGGCGGCCAGGGCGTGCGGCGGCGGCACCGGGTGCACTGGCACGGCGGGGTTGGGCGGGTGCGAGACCGCCTCGGCGAACACCAAGTCCGGGTTGGAGTAGACGCCCCGACCCGCGGCGGCGGCGGCAGCCGAGTGGAAGCCGTTGAGGAACGGATTTATGGGGCTGGAGTTGGCGTAGCTGAGCGCCGCGGGACGGATGGGGTCCTCCGAGCGAGAGGCGGGCAGGGGACTGTCCTTGGCCACCAGCGACTCGATGGTGAAGCAGCGCTTGGGCGCCGGCTGAAACATGCTGCGCCGAGGAGCGGGCGCCCTGGGCTCCCGGCTCCCGGCGACCGCGGCGCGCTGCCTCCGCCGCCCGCTGCCCGCGGCGAGGACGGTAGAGAATTGGGGACTCGTTTGTTTGGGGTGGGGGTGGGGGCGGGGGCGGGGGATGGGGTGGGGGGGAGGAAAGGAAGAAAGAAAGGAAAGGAAAGGAAAAGGGAAAGGAGGGGGGAGGGAGAGGGAGAGGCAAAGCCAAGGATCCCGAGAATCTTGCACCAAACGCACCCAACCTGGAGAGAGGGGAAAAATCCTTCCAGAAGAATTTGCAGGCGTGGATTGGGGTAATATTTTTTTTTGAGAGATGGCGTGGGGGGATCGGAGTTAGAGGCAGGGAGGAGAGGGGGGGAAAGTTTCTCGGGGGAGGCAAAAAAAAGTTTTTTCTCCTCTGCAAAAGGCGGGCAGGGCGCCCTAAGTCCAAGGACAATCCATGGAAGTGTTCGCTTCTTCACAAGTTGTGCAAACGATTTGTTAGTTCATGAGCCTAATTAGTGCGGGGATCACATAAACAGCTTCCTCCGAAGCCTGGTAAATGGCTTGATGATTGGTCGCTATTACTCGCCCTGAGGTGGAAGGGGGGAGACTCTTTAAAGTGCGTCAGAGGGACGCGAGCGCCTGGGAACCCGGAGGCCTGGATCCGGGCCGAGGTGGAACGGAGTCGGCGCCGCTGCCTCGGCTGTGCCTCCCGCCGCCCGCCAGGCCGCCCGGCCTCTCCGCGCCCGCGCCCCGCGGCCCGGCTCACTCGCTCCCGCGGCGCCCGCTGCCGCTTCTCCTCCTCCTCCTTCGCCTCCTCCTCTTCCTCCGCTCTCTTCTCCTCCTCCTCCTCTTCCTTCTTCTCCTCCTCCTCTTCTTCCTCCTCCTCTTTCCCCACCTCCTCCTCCTCAGCCACTGCCTCCTCCTCCAACACCACTACCACTCCCTCCGGGGCACCCGGGTCCCTGCAGAGTCCGCGGTCGGCGCCGCCTCCGCTGCGGCCCCCTGGATCCAGAGCCTGCGGCGCCCAAGCGGATAGGACGGACGGACAGACAGATTGCTCGCGCCCAGCGCTCACCGCTGCTGCAGCCCGCGTCGGGGGAACCGGGATCGCCCCGGGAAGCACCTCGAGGGTAAGCGGGCGGGCCGGCTCCGGCGTGGGCTAGAGGTGCCGTCCGGTTGTACCCGTCCCCACACTCGCCAAAACTCGCGGGCGAAGAGGGAGCCTGGGGTGCGGGCGGGGGTCCTCCCACCCCTCCAACCGCGCGTAGCCTCGAGGTCCCAGGGTCTGTGCGTTCCCGATCCGTGACCCCGCTCGTTCGTTTGCAAGTTGAAAAGGAGTCGCCAACCCTGCCGGAGCGGCGGGACTCCAACTCGCGCCCGCTCTCGCCCCGCGGGCTTTCGCTTTTTCCGTCTGGGAGGGTGCTCACCTCCTTCCCCAAAACAGTTCCTTCTGGAATATCTGGGACTGGGAGTCCAAGGTCAGGGGAGAGCCCAATGTGGTGCTACTCTACTATTATGGTTCCGTTGCAGTTATTTTGGATAGTGTTGTCATTATTATTGTTGTTGCTATTATTATTATTTCTATTATTATTCTGCCATCTGTTGTCCTAGGGACAAGTTGCTGAGCAAGCCCAGGGCTCGCGACCAGGGACTGCGGATTGAGTCTCCGGTCCTGGGCCTTGTCCGCATTTTCGAGCTCGCCTTCGGTTTTGGGATGATTTTTAGGGCCGAGTTCCCTCGTCCCCATTGGCTCACGCGGCGGCATAATTATGATCACATCCCCCAGGCTGCTGGCGCTGCTCTCTGTTTATTGGTGGTTAAAGATCTATTATCTATTCATCAGCCGCCTCTCTCTTTTTTTTTTCTTTTTGCCAATTACAATCTTCTAAAGTGAAGTACCAGCAGGTATTTTGCACGTTTACAATTAATGATAAAAAATCTAGCGTCCTTTAAATCTATTACTCCCAGGCCCATGTTATTTCTCTTAAGGAGGAAGAAATGCCTGCGTTTGGTGACCAGGTTGCCAGGAGAAGTGGATCGGGAGGGGAGGAGAAGAGTGAAGTCCACAGTGAGCAAGGCTGCACGGCCACCAGACCCAACGGCAGGGTTCACGGTCTTAGGACGTGCTCCACGCTCCCTGAGCTACCCTCTTCCTCCCTTGGTTTCATCTGTTGTGTATTTCTGTGTCCATTTCTCTACTTTATTCCAGATATAATGTTGGCGGGGGAGGGTGTCCAAATACCTCCTCCCTGAAACCCTTCAAGGCAAGAGAGGAGTTGGGAGCAGCGTTTTCTGGGGTTGTCAGCGTGCCACACAGATTAGTGGGGAGATGACAGAGATCATCTTCTCTGCCCCCATCCTCCCCAGGGCATACACACGCACAGATTCACACGCCAGACAGGTGCAGCATTGTCTTCACGGTGGGAGAAACCTTCCTGTCCTTTAGGCTTTGGACCTCTGTGACACCAGCTTTGGGCTGGGGGCCTGGCCTGGTATTGACACTGTGTTGGTTCCAAGTGGCCTTGCTTTGCCCCCTTCCTTTTTCCAGGCCCAAAGATTCTGGGCATTAGATTCAGCTTCTTGGGGTGGGGGTGCACTTAAAGATGCACCTCCTTTGGCTCTGAACCACTGTCCCCAAAAATATTTTCTCCAGCTTGGAAATCCTTCCCTCAACTAGGCTGTGGGGACAGAGGCCCCATCTCTACTAGGCTGACATGGAGCCTGAAGGGTGGAGGTCTTTTGGCTTAGCCCAGCCAGCAAGCCCAGAGTGGAACTAGGGGTCAGCCCTCCAATTTCTGAAGCAGGAAACAAATACCCGATTTAGGCAGGCCATGGACCCCAGGTCCTGGCAAGCAGAAGAGGGCACCTTCCCATGAGCCTCTGAAAGAGGACTGGAGGGCCAGGCCCTCCAACTGGGTCTGAGATGTTGGGGTTGCAAAGTGAGACTACTAAAAGCTCTATCCTCGCTTCAGGGCAGACTCGAAGGGGTCCTCAAACTTTTTAAACAGGGGGCCAGTTCACTGTCCCTCAGAGCGTTGGAGGGCCGTTGGAGAGCGCGGCGCACATTCCACACATGCGCACTGTGGGCCCCGGACGGGACCAGTCGGCTGCTAAGTAGGACAGGCAGCAGTGGCAAAAACACCAGGAGGGCCATAGTTTGAGGACCCCTGAGGCAGATAATGGCTATTTACTGCACAGTTAGCATTACTGATGTTGGCTGGGAGATAAAAGTCGTTGACCTTGGGGGCAAGGGGAATTCAGTCTATGTCTGGGAGACAGGGTGAGCCCCCCCACCCATGGTGTGTGACATAGAAGGGTGTTGGATGCTCCTCCTCTCTTAAAACTTTCAGCTGTGAGCGTTGAGGTATAGTCCATACTCCCTTAACCCTTCCCCCCTTCCACCAGTTGGTGTTGGCAGAATGTCCTAAAGGAGCAAGTGACAGAGTGACAGTCTGGAGACAGGATTCTTCTGCTTCCTGCCTGAGGTGGGGAACATTTGTCTGAAGCAGAGGACCAGACTGCTCCGAGGTCTAATGGGTGGAGGCATCCTCTGCAAGCCACCAACTTTTACAAACTGCCCCACCTATGACCTGCTTTGTCCCTGGGGCTCTGGCTGGCCATCTGGTAGGTGAGGAGGGTGAGGAAGCAGCGGGGTCTGGTACCCACCTTCCTGAAGGGAGAAGGGCATGCTAGTTCCTCTACCCCAAGCTCCAGGGGCCCCAAGTGGCACTCCGGCCCCCTTGAAGGAGCAATGGTTTCGGTGAGTCCGGGGCAGTGCAGAAGCCCAGGAAGCTGGGTAATCTATGCTAATTCATGGGCTCAGACCTAAGGAGCCCAGGAAGGTTTGCGCTGTCTGGCTCAACTGTGGGGGAATTAACTAGGATAGTAACTCATTAACTATAGTGGCCAGTGGAGGCGCACCAGGGCACTGGGCACTCTGGTCTGGACTCAGACCCTGAACTTAGACTCCACAGCTGCCGCTCACTCTACTCGTGGCTTTGGGCCTTGCAGGTCACAGCCCCCTATCCCCCACCTTTGTTCCTTAGCCGCCCAAGGAGTGGGTGTTTGGTTAAGTACTGGTGCGTGCATTCAGAGGTGGGAGGATTTCTGAGACTCCAGTTTAGGGAAAGGGCTTCCTCCCTCCACTCCATGTGTTCCCCAAGGCACAGCTGCCTATTGGGCTGTGTAGGCTCAGGCGTCTATACACTGCAGGCAGCTGGACTAGCAGACACATCTGACGGTCCTAATCCCAGATCTGTCACTTACTTTGGGCAACGATGAAACCTCTCCAGCCCTCATTTTGTTGTATGTAAAAATGCAGCCAATGCTGCCTGGGAAGCAGTGGAGGGAATCAGTATGGCTTGTTTGGGGTGAGCAATAGAACAGTTCTACTTCCTGACTGTGGTAGTACTTACATGACTGTATATGTTTTTTCAAAACTCATAGAACTGTACACTACAAAGGGTGAATTTTACTGTATGTAATGATACCTTAATAAACTTGCCCCCCACTCCCAAATACCAAAAAGAGGCATGCATTTACAGCTTAACTGCATGACCTTGGGCAAGTTACCTAACCTCTCTATGCCTCTATTTTCTCTTCTTTGAAATGGGACTAAATAGTAGTACCTTGGCCCTTGAGATTTTTCAGTGAAATAAGCAATGTGCTTAGACTGTATATCTGGCACATACTGAACTACAATAAATGCTCCTGTCCCTGATGTTGCTGTTGTTACTACTTACCCCATCCAGGGCTTGTTGCTGAGCTTCAGAGACTGAACATTAAAGTTGTACAAACATGAGCCAATGCTGGTCTCACATTCCTGCCATGCTCCTCCTGCTCCCCCAAAGGCCTCAAACTTCCCTAGGGAGATGTTGGGCTGAGAGAGGCCTGGATTCCTGGCTTGTAGGAGGCATCAAAGGGCGGGAATTCCTGGGGATCTCCGATAACCATCTGCTCCGAGTTTTCTGCAAGCACCCTGTGCGTCAAAGGCGCAAATGGCAGCGTCTTAACCCTCTTATGGCTCTGTGCTAGGCCTGTGAGGTGTCTGGGGTGGGTGCACGGTCTCTTGCAACTCAGAAGATACTCAGGAGCTGCCTGGGGTCATTACCTGTGTGACTTTCACCTTCCTGAGCCTTGGTTATCTCATCATTGAAAAGGAAATACCGCTATCTTAATGGTTGTTGAGAGGAGTGAGTGAGCTAATGCTTAACGTTCATCAAATTTTGTTATTGTTAGGCCATGGCCTTGTGGGGTCCTGATCACCCGCTGCACTTGGACACGTCCAGGTCGCCGCAGTTTGGACCCTCGCAGTGAGCCAGTCCCGTGAGCCCTCACCGTGCGCCCGCGGCGCGGAGCGGGAAGCGCTAATGCCAGCGCAGGGCGCGCCCTTTCCCCGCCCCGAGGTACGGGAAAGGCGACCTGAGCTGGGGCGGCCTCGGGCCAGTTAAGAACTGCTCCAACCCACAGTAATTCCCAGGCCTCTCCGAACGCGTGGAGCGTCGGCAGGAAAACGAAAAGTAGAATTAATATCTTAAAAACATTTTTATAAAATTACTACGAGAAATCTCTTTCTGGCGTCCTCTGCAGAGGCCTCTCGCCAGGCCCGTGCGGCGCCGGCCCGGGCCCCGATCGGCGTGCGCGCAGCGGCGCCTAGTGGCGAGGGCCGGGCGCGGGCGCGGTTCCCGCCGGGTCCCGCAGCCGGTGCGCGGAGTGCTGGGGCTGCGCCCCGCTGCCTGGGTCTCGCCGAGACCGCAAACCGGACCAGGGAAGGAGATCTAAAGATGCTCACTGGCTACAGAGGGGAGCGGGCGACTTGGAAATGCTGCTCCCTCCGTGAGCTGCAGCGTCAGAGTTCACCATCCACGCTCCAATTCCAGCTTCACTAGGAGTCGCGCGGGCTCCCTTCCGAGGGGGCGGGGAGGGGGGACAGGGGCGGGACAGACTGTGCTCTAAGGACTAGGCGGCCGCCGTGATCACCTGTGCCGGGGAGATGGCCAGCCACTGCGCAAATGCGCCCACGACTCCATGCCTGAGGTCCCGGATCCCCCGGCCCGACCGCCGTGGCCCGGGGAACCGGCCTGGACGGCTGCGCGGCCCCGCCTGGGGTGGAGTCGCAGGGTGCGGCTCT